CCGGGAGGCGGGCTTCCCGCCACTTCCCCGGCCCACCCGGCCTGGCGCGAGGCCCGTCCCCCGCCCCCCTGCCCGGCGACGCGCCGCGCCGCGCCGCGCCGCGCTCCGCCCCCTGGTTGCCGAGACAACGCCCGGACGCGCCCCGCCCCGAGCCCCAGAGCGGCGCCTGTCGCCCGGGCGCTGCCAGCCGGCGGAGCGCCGCTTCTCCGTCCCGCCTCTGGTCATGGCCTCGCTACGCAACGCCAGCCCCAGGCTGAGGAACTACTTTAAGAAGAACTACATCCCTCAGGTCTGCGAGGTACTGGAGACGTGTGGCGGCGGACGCGGGCCGGCTGTGGGGAGATCGAAGGGAGAAGAGTCTGGAGAGACTTCCTGAAGGAGGGGCTGGAGTTTGGGGTTTGGAGAGAAAAGTGGAGTGTGAGACAGTGAAGTCAAATTTGAAGATGCAGGTCAAGAGAGAAGACAGAGGGGTGATCATGGCTGAAAGGGAAAAGCGGGTGACATCTTCCAGGGAGAAAGAGCAAAGGCTCGGGACGGAAAGCTCAAACTCTAACTTTTAAGATTTGGATAAGACAAACCTGAGGACAAGAGGAGGCGTGAGAAAGAAGTGCCAGAGAGATAGGTAGAGGAGGAAGACCAGCAGAGTGTGGCATTGTGAAGAGTGTTTTAAGGAGAGGCTGGGCAATAGTCATCTAAGATAAAGACCTGGAGAAGTCACGTGGATTCTGCCCAAGGAGAGCCTGAGGTATCAGTGGAGCAGTGAGGGCAGAAAATAGATTGAGGTTACTGAGGAGAGAATGTAGCCAGCCCTTTGTGAGGAGAGGACCCTCACAACCAGGATTGCCTTTAGACAAGAGGAGGGATGCCCCCACCCCGTTATAATAGGAGGAAGGGAAAACAGGATGAGGGTGGATAGTAGGTTGTGAAGGTTTGGGGTAGAAGCTAAGAACGTTATCTTCTGTTGACTTCTATTTTCTCTACAAATAGCTCATGAGATATTTGTCAAGAACGTTGTGTATTTGGGTGGAGATGAGGGTGGTGGTACAGTAGGAGGTTTGAGCAAAGATAAGTTGTGTGGGGAATGAGGGAGAGAGCTGTCCAGGTGTGCAGTTGAGAGGGCAGTTTGGTACTTCCTTTTTGGACGGTAATTTAGAAGCGTTTATTAAAATGTTAAGTACGTATACCCTTTAACCAAGCATTTCCACATCTAGGGATATACTTTAGAGACATACTTGCACATGTACATTCCTCATTAATGTACAAGGATATTCATTATAACTTTTTTTCATCGTGAAAGCAGAAAATAACCTAAATGTGACTGAGGTATGGTGTAGAATAAAGTATATCTGTACCTACTCAGAAGAAATGCCCTCCAAGACATATTAAGTAAAAAAGTACAAGTTGCCCAGGAAAATGTCCACTATGCTCTAGCTACCTATCTGATTTTTTTTTTTTTTTTGAGTTGGAGTCTCAGTCTGTCACCCAGGCTGGAGGGTAGTGGCACATTCTCAACCACTGCAGCCTCAACCTGCTGAGCTCAGGCAATCCTTCTGCCTCAGCCTTCCAAGTAGCTGGAACTACAGGCATGTGCCACCATGCCCACCTAATTTTTTTATTTATTGTAGAAATGAGGTCTTGCCAAGTTGCCCAGGCTGGTCTCGGCAGTCCTCTCACCTCAGCCTCCCAAAGTGCTGAGATGATAGGCATGAGCTACTGTGCCTGGCCTGATTGCTTATATGTATATGTGTGATATGTATATTTACATATGTATATATATGTTTATTTGTATATGTGTTTATGTGTATATGTGTATATCTATCTGTGAAAAAGTCAATAATTCACGCCTAGAACATATGCCAAACTATTACAGCAGATATTTTGGGAGATGGTTTTATGGAAGGAGATGAAAGAGAATTCTCACTTTTTACTTTTTACATAGTAGCATTATTTCAGTGTATTACAATGAGCTTTTATTCATTTGTACCTCCATGCAATTATACTTGAAACTATGTAGAGAGAATTGTACCATCTTCCTAGTTGTCTGATTTTTCTCAAGTAGCACTCAGTCAACCAGATGTAGGTACAGAAATAACTGAGTTGACTTTTTTTTTGCCAGCCATATAAAATGGAAGGGCAATAGGTAAGGGAGCTAAGCTACTGAGTGTCTGAAGTGATGGGCCAAGGATTCTAAGGACTGGGTGGGAAATGAGAACAGATTATGATGCTGATACAGAAAGTGGAGACTTCCAGGAGTCAAGTGAAGAGAAATAGGAGTAATTAAGTGAGGGGGATGGAGACCTAGAAGGTGGGGGTCAGAAAGTGGAATGTTTGTATTTATGATTCAGAGTAGAGCCATTCTGGGTAAGGGTTCAGTTCAGGATATGGCCATGGAGCAGGTGGCAGAAATGAACTTGAGCTGAGGGTCAGGATATATTAAGGAAGTGATGACCTCTCCTCATCTTGTCCTCCAGTTGTTGTTAACATCACAAAGCTTCAAAGAGCCAGTCCCTAGTTCTCCCTCTAGGTGAGAGTACTCCTCTTCACCAGCTTACCACATTGCTCTGCACCTAGAGAGAAAAAGGCCCTGAAAGCATTCCCCATTGTCTAAGATAATAATCTCCTGAGGAGTCTTTCACTTACCTGTGCTACAACATTACCAACAGGTGCAAGAGAGCAGTCTTCTGGGGCCCCACACACCCACGTTAAACTTGTTACCCAATTCTCCTAAGAGACTATCTAGATGAATCCCATCCTGCCTCATCTCTCTATATATCTGACTCAATTTCCCAGGCCTTATACTTTTCTAAGATCCATCTTTTGTAAACTTTGGAGTACATAAATAATCTTTCATCATAAATTTTACAGTATATTTAGCCTCTTCTGAGCTTTACTTACCTGTCCTAAATACAACCTGATTGTTCACTTACAATATCATTTTTCTGCAAACCTCTTGAATAGAGACTGATTTTTAAAAAAATTCTTCTTGGTTCCCTGGGCTTACTGAGTCTGTTGATTGATATTTTTCATCAATCTTAGAAACTTCTTGGTCATTTTCAAATATTACTTTTATTCTCTCTTCTCCTTCTGGGACTCTAGTAATAGACATATTAGAGTTTGTATTTTTTTTTCTCTTTGTCCTACCTGCATCTTTTGTCCTATTCTGTGATTTCCCCAATTTTTATTCTTTATGTTCAATTTTGGGGCTTTTTTGTAGACTGCTTTCAAGTTTACTAATTATATTTTATGCTGTGTCCAGTCTAATGAAATTTCAGATGGTATGTTTTTTCAGTTCTAGAATGTCCATTTGGTTTTTTATGTATTCTGCTATTAAAATTATGCATCTTTTCATTCATTTTGTCATTTCTTGTTTTCTTTAACATGTTAATGGTTGTTATTTTAAAATCATTGTATGTTAACTTGAATATCTGGATCACCTGTGGGTCTGCTTCTATTGTTTGTTTTCTAATGTTGAGTATTTATCACATTTTTCTGCCTCTGTACATATCTAGTAATTTCTTATTTTTATTGGAAGTTGTATTAAAAAAGAACAGACGCACCAGATGGCATACTCTTTCACCAGTGAAGTTTCTTCCTTTCTTCTCTGTAGATGAAGAGCTGATAACCTCTGTCTAGACAGGGATTGAGCTGGATTGAGGCTGGATTGAGATAGTTTTATTTTGATTCTGTCCACATATGGTTCATTCCTGTTCCTGAATACAGCTTTTCTGGGCTTTTGATTGAGAAGCTAGCTGGTCTGTCTCCTCATCCTAAAAGATTGCAAGAGATTTGGTTTTGCCTTTCAGAGGTATTTGAGTTTAGCTCTTTAGCTTCCTTTCTAGGCCTTCATCTTTAAAATCTGGCACATGTATTATACATCAACATATATAAAAACAAGAACCACATGATTATTTAATTAGATGCAGAAAAAGCTTTGGATAAAATCCAGCATCCTTCTTGATAAAAACCCTTAAACACCTAGGTATAGAAGGAACATACCTCAAAATAGTAAGTGCCATCTACAACAGACCAACAGCTAACATATTACTAAATGAACAGAAACTAGAATCATTTCCCCCGAAAACTGGAACAAGACAAGGCTGTCTACTTTCACCCCTCTTGTTCAATATTGTGTTGGAAGTACTAGCTCAGGCAATTAGACAAGAGAAGTAAATCAGAGGTATCCAAATAGGAAAAGAGGAAGTCAAGTTATCCTTCTTTGCTGATATATGATCCTACACCTTGAAAATCCAAGAGAATCTGTTAAAAATCTGCTCACACTGATAAAGGACTTTGGCAAAGTCTCAGGGTACAAAATAAATGTGCAAAAGGCAGTTGTATTCCTTTACACCAACAACAAGCAGGCAGAGATCCAAATAAAAAGCACAATCCCATTCACAGTAGCTACCAAAAAAATGAAATACCTCGGCATCTTCCTAACCAGAGAAGTGGAAGAACTTTACAATGAAAATTACAAAACACTGCTTAAAGAACGCCAAGAAATCACAAACAAGTGGAAAAATATTCCATGCTCATGGATAGGAAGAATCAACATTATTAAGATGCCCATCCTACCAAAGGCAGTCTGCAGATTCAACGCAATACCCATTAAGCTACCAACATCATTCTCTTCAGACCTGGAAATGACAATACAGAAATTCATATGGAAACATAAATGACCACGAATAGCCAAAACAATCCTTAGCAAAA